CTGGCCCGGGGGGCGCTCTCTTCAGGCACTTGGCTGCTCCCTATCTGAGCAGCAGGCATGGCCCACCCGGGGGCTGCCTCCTGGGGACCCCAGGGTCAGAGGGGCCTCTGGGGGCCGGGGGCAGGAGGCCAGCATGTCCTCTGAGGTAGCCGAGGCGGGGAGCTCAGGACCAGCTCAGAGCTGGCTGTCACCCTTCCTGGACGCCAGCAGGCCCAGGTCAGGCTCTGAGCTTTCTGACGCCTCCAGCCAGATTTGGGGTGAGGACGGCGAGGAGGACCTCCTGGGGTGCGGTGCTACAGCAGAGCCGGCGTCAGGGCACCCCTCGCCTGGCCTGGAAAACAGAGGCACAGCCTGCAGGACCCCCACTTCCCCAGGCATTGGGGAGACACGGGACGCCTCCAGAGCTGGTTTGAGCCTGGCCAGCACGTCGAACCATGGCAGCACAGAGCAGGAGTCCCCGGGGGCCATCCCGGCAGTGTGGCCGCCTCAGATGTCCCCTGCCAGTGACCTGGACCCCTCATGGTCCCTTTCTCCAGAGACCTCTGCAAGGCCGGAGTTTAACAAAGGGGAGCCTGGGCCTCCGCCAGCAGGGGGCTGCTGCCCCGAGGGGCCCCTGGGCACTACAGTGACTTTGCTGGCTGTAGCCGGAGACCCTGAGAGCGGGGCACCATGGTTTCCGGGGGCCAGAGTGTCGGCCACCTCTGAGGAAACCGGCCCCCACCGTGGGGCTGGGGTCCTGACCGAGATCCTATCCCCTGTGGACGAGGTGCTGTCCTACAGCAGCATCGACCTCCCGGCCTCCAGCCACAGGGACCCCAGCCTGCCCTCCTGGCCCCTGGAGTTGGCCCTTCCTGCTGAGGGCAGTGGCTGGGACAGCAGCATCTGCTCTGGAGACTTTCCGTCCCCGCCCGAGGAGGCCCTGCATCCGGGAGCCTCCCCCGGTCCCCTCGGGGAGAATACCTCCCTGGCCACTGATGAGCTATACTCCTGGGCCGAGGACAATGTGCCAGAGGTCCTGCCCCCAAAGTCAGGGTGCCCATGGGGGGCTGGGCCAGGCAGATCCCGTAAGGAGGGGTTGGGGATGTCGGGTTCTGTGGCTGAAAAGGAGTCTGTGAGTGGCCAGTATTCCCTGTGCAGGGGGGCTGGTGACTGCCCTGGGGGGCTCCCATGGCCATCCACCCAGCCCCCACCTCTGTCCCCGACTGCAGGGGAGGGTCTCCCAGCGTGGCTTGTGGTTGGGGAGGGGGAACACCAGAGCCAGGCCCTGGGCAGCCCTGTGGTAGGCACTGGGCCCTTGGGCAATTGGGGTGCACCCTGGGCCACCCTGCTATGTCCAGAGAGTGGGGAAGGCCAGGCGGGGCCCCTGAGCCCCCCAGGTCCTGTTGGTCAGCTGGATGTTACTGAGGTGGGCCAAGGTCCCAGGGAAGTGCCGGGTGGGAGTACAGGGGCAACCTCACCCCCCCACCCCACAGCAGAAGCCCCTCCCCCAGGCAGGGCGCTGGTGGTGGCCACTGGCTGGATTGAGCCCCTCGGTCTTGTTGGTGACGTGGGAGACCTGGGCTGCCAGGGGGAGGGCCC